ACCTGAAACCAATCTTTTTCTAAAGATTGTTCATACATTGTAAGTAGACCTGAGACCAATCTCTTTCTAAAGATTGTTCATACAGTGTGGGTAGACCTGAGACCAATCTGTTTCTAAAGATTGTTCATACATTGTGGGTAGACCTGAGACCAATCTGTTTCTAAAGATTGTTCATGCAATGTGGGTAGACCTGAGACCAATCTATTTCTAAAGATTGTTCATACAATGTGGGTAGACCTGAGGCCAATCTGTTTCTAAATAATGCTCATATAATGTGGGTAATAAAGTTTTTTATTTTATTTTGCAGAATTCATCTTATGAATTCATTATAGTCGATAGATCCATAACAATGACATCAGGACGTACATATATACACTTACTTGGCGTAAGCTTTTTCGAGAAGAGCACTCCAAAATTCATTTTGTTCTTTAGAGTGCATGAAAAGCAGTCTGTTGTTCATAGTTGGAAGGCGATCGTCCACAACCACATCAATCCAGCGACCATACTGCCAAAAGCGGAAATGGAAGATCCCTGCGTAATCATCCTCGAATCCTTGATCGTCAGGAACGACCCGGTAGAACAAAGTCTGGTTAAGAGTCAGATTGGCCACTGCAGCCAGTAGCCAACAGTCTCCTGTAGAGAGCAAGATGTGCTTTATATCTTGGCGATATTTTAATTACTATCTATAATATGAACGTATATTCAATCTGACGGCCACACACACATACTAGTTACGAATCTAATTTGCACAAACCTTTTACAATATGCATTTGGATGAGTAGTATTACACTCCTCCCGCCCGTAAAAGTGTACTTACTGTTCAGCGAGGAACCTACTAAACCGAATAATTAATTAAAAAATTCGATACCAGCAATTTTTACAGGAGTCAAGTTGTGATCATTAAAATCAGAAGTTGATTATTTAAAAAAGTTGCTGTTATTGTATTTTTTGTAATCGTTATTTAATTTTATTAGAATGTACTCATTGTTTGTTAGATTGTAATCATTGTTTAATTTTATTAGAATATACTCATTGTTTGTTAGATTGTAATCATTGTTTAATTTTATTAGAATGTACTCATTGTTTGTAAGAGTATAATAATTGTTTAATTTTATTAGAATGTACTCATTGCTTGTAAGATTGTAATCATTGTTTGATTTTATTAGAATGTTCTCATTGTTTGTAAGAGTATAATAATTGTTTAATTTTATTAGAATGTACTCATTGCTTGTAAGATTGTAATCATTGTTTGATTTTATTAGAATGTACTCATTGTTTGTAAGAGTATAATCATTGTTTAATTTTATTAGAATGTACTCATTGTTTGTAAGAGTATAATCATCGTTTAATTTTATTAGAATGTGCTCATTGTATTCAAAAAAGGATAACAGTAAATAGTATATACAGTTTTGAACTCCCTCTAGCGACGAGGATTTGTTCAGTTAATTGTATTACAAGGGTCAATGCCTTAGTTTGCGTACAACAAATTTTCAGAAAGTTTTTTTATAAGTCCTAGTGTGTTTTTATAATAAGCTTACGCTTAAGACATTACATACTTTAAACAAGACTAACTACAGTTTTAATCAACTTTTGTAGAACAGTTACTCTGTCACCACAAGCTTGAGAAGCATAATTTGGGAGGTGGAATTTTTGAAATCTGTAGTATGAGCTCAAACATGAGATTAGTTAAGATACGTCTCTTCAACTCTGTAATGATCCGGTCTATTATACCTGTAAGAGACGTTTTGTTTCGGCCAGAAAAACAGTGAGAAACATGAAAACTCGACTATAGACCCTTTCATGCATTACGTGCCGGTAGAACTGTGATTGAAAACTTTCTTGAAACATACGCATCTGATTGTTATCATAAATGAGAAATAGTTTACTTGAAATGTATTCATCAAAAAAAAAAAGAAAAGAGAGTAAGAGCGTAAAATATAACCCTTGAGAAGTGCTTTCAAAATTGTAATAATAATATAAGTGTAATAAG